GATCTACTCTGCCCTAAAGGGTCATTGAGTCAGAATCGACTCAACAGCAATGGGTTTTTGCTAGGGTCTGTTTTTGTTTTGTTTTGTTTTGTTTTTGTATTACTCACAGAAAGACATTAAGCATAGGTGGCCTCTGACCACTAAACGCCAACAGAAGACACCAGTCAGTGACAGCCTAGCTCCACTTGCGACTCACTGCAGAAGTCATGTAGTGATCATTATTTCAGCCTGATTATAGAATCACCTCTGCAGACTTGCTCACTGTACTACCTTTGCAGATGCATGGAAGTTATCTACCACATCATGAATTGACTTTCATTAATGTGGCCACTGGTAGCATAGTGGCTAAAGCACTTGACTGCTAACCAGAAGGCTGGCGGTTCAAACCCACCAGCCACTCCTCGGAAGGAAGGTTGAGCAATCCTACTTCCGTAGTGATACTGCCTCGGAAACCCAAGGAGGGGTTGCTATGAGTCGGGGCCGACTCGATGGCACATAACAACAACAATGTGGCCACTAAGCAGCTTCAGAGTTGGCCCATCTCTAGCAGGTAGGCATGAGTTAACAGTTCGAGATCTCACTACTTTTTATGTGATAATAGACAAGGTATTTTCTCTAAACATTTATTCATATGAAAAACTGGAATAATATAGTTGCTGTTGTTGTTAGCTGTAGTCAGGTTGGCGCCCATCTCATGATGACTCCAGGCACAATGAAACAAAATGTTGCTTGGTCCTGAAACAACCCCATGACCGACCAGCAGCAGGCTGAAGCGTTGCGATCCAGTCAGCATTGGCTAATTTTAGGAGGTAGATCCCCAGGCCTTTCTTCCTACTCTGCCTTGGACTGAAAGCACCACTGAAGCCTGTTCAGCATCATGGCAACACAGGAGGCTTCACTAACAGATGGGTGGTGGCTGTCCATGAGGGGCATTGGCCAAGAATTGCACCCTGGTTTCTCAGGAAACACAAGAATTCTATCACTGGACCACTACAGAGAGCATTAATGTGCCAGGCAGTGCTCTAAGTGCTTTCTGTGAATTCATTCATTTAATCCTCATAACAAATCCACGAGGTATGCATAATTTCTACCCCCATTTTCAAAACAAAGAAAAGAGGCACAGAAAGGCGAAGAAACCTGCCTAAGCTTGCACAGCTAGTAAGTATAGAACCAGGAAGACTGTGATGGCAATTACACTACAAAGTGTGTATTGGATGCTTGACACAGGGCCTGGTACACAACACAGCACATAATAGATACGTGTGAATTAGAATTATGGTCAAAACCTTGGTATCGGTATATTTCTGTGGGTTAATCTTAGACAAAGCTTGACTTTCTTAAGTGTCAGAAAAGCCCCACCACTTGGTTCTCTGGTTCAGCATCAAATTAGGGTCCACATTCTTCACACAACTTCAATGAGGTTGCCCACTTTGTTACTGTGACCTCTGCTAGCCTGGTCTTACAGGGATTGGCAGACTCTCCCTGTAAAGGCCAAATATATATTACTTTGTGGACTATACAGTCTTTGTCACAATCTTCCTTTTTTTCCTCTTTATTTTTGACTCTTTTAAAAATGTGAAAACCATTTTTATCCGTGGGTCCTAGCAGGACAACCCCTACTCTCCAAGGTTATTACTAGAGCACCATTCAAGTCATAAAAAGGCATCAAAAAGGCTTTCCACATGGGTGAGCAGATTTTGTTAAATTGTTTAAACACACTGGCATTGAACCCCATCCGCCAAGAGAAAGTTGCCAGATAATTTCAGTAAATTGGTAGATGGCTGAAACAGTGAAGTAAATCAAAGGTCTATGGGTCAGAGAGTTAGGTAGTTAGGTAGGTAAATGCCAATCTGAAGAGCAGGATCTTCTCAAGAAATAAGTGATGAAAGGAAAATATCTCAGAAATATTATTGTGTTTTAGAAGCAGGACAGAATTTCATTCATGCAACAAATCTGATTGTTTCTATATGCCAGTCATTGTTCTCAGGAACCCTGGTGGTTTTGTGGACAAGATATTTGGTTGCTACCCGCAAGGTCAGCGGTTCAAACTCACCAGCTGCTCTGCAAAAGGAAGATGGGGCGATCTACTCCTGTAAAGATTCACAGCCTCAGAAACCCAGTGGGTTCAACTTGATGGCAGTGAGTTTGGCTTTTTTGATTTGGTTCTCAGTGTTGGAATTTTAGCATTTTAGAGCTCACGGGGACCCACAGACATTATCTGATCCAATCTCTTTATTTCATGGAAGAGGATTCTGAGGTCCAGTAATTTAAAGTAACTTTGTTCTTTCTATTTAAAATGAAATGTGGCCAAGATGGTGTAATTTTTTTTAATGTATGTTTTCACCACAATGAAACAAAAAATTTAAAATACAGTATTTTTTTTCCCTTTAAAGTTAGCACATATGCTGGTTATCAAATGTTTGTTAAATGGAACTTATTCATGGAAAGATACTATTGTCTTTACCACCTTAAAACATCTATTAGTCTGTCAGAGTAATACATTGTATTTGTTTTACAAATTTATTGAAGACTTTTTTAGCGGTGTTTCAAACCATCTTTTGGTGAGCGTAGTGGGCTGAGCATCAATCATTACATTAACGTCTCTGATTCGCCTTCATTTCTCCTTTTCCCTTTTGGCTCCAATAGCTTCCACTTATTTCTCCCATCTCTCCTGTTCTTGCACTTTCTTGTTTCCACTGCCACCACCCTCACTGCTTCCAGGATAAACTTTTAAGTTATTGTCCTCAGGCTTTCTCACTCCAACTCCACCAATGTATCCTGTCCACTTCTTCATAAAACCAGGTTCATGTAATACTACTACCCCACCCCAATGTTCTGAATTAAAAAAATAAAATCTGCTCTGCCTACCAGCCAAAGCTCCAAATGCTTATCCTGGTTGCTCAGCCCCAAACCGACCTTCTTCCTGGTTTTATTTACCATCATTCTCCTATTCCCCCTGGTCCACATTCCTCATACAATTTCCCTCAAATTATTACCGACTCTTATCTAAATATGTCCCTGAGTTCATGCCTTGGCCAAGGCCTTCCCCTCCACGGGAACTGTGTTTTCATCAATCACAACCTTTAGAAATCCCACCCATCTGCAAGGCCATCTACTCTCCTCACCTGGGGCCCCACCCTTCCTTTCCCCCCCATTTCTCCAGCACCTGGTTCTACTTTCTTACGGCAGGAACCAAATTTACTTTCTAGATTTTTTTTAGATTATTTGAGTATATGACTTAATGTCTCTACTAGAAGTAAGCTACCCATTCTGCAAATACAACAAGAAATAGTTTTAAGTTAAAACACCAAATTTATTGCATAATATTGAACTATTTGCACACACATAGAAAATAAACATTTCATATAACTGTATATCTTTTTTTTAATCTTGTATTATAAAGACTGAAAAACTACCAATTTAGCAATTGAAATAAGTTTTTTAAAAAAGAAAAAGCAAAAATCTACAATCCTTCATTGAGATTTGATGCTGTATCATGGTTCATAAATACTTCATTTTATATAAATAAGTCTTTTCTCTAGTTACTAGGAATTTAAAATTAGGCTGACATGGGTCCTTTGATTTTCTTATCCTATGAGAAGGAAGGTTGAACATGTTGTTATTTTAGAGATACATATATTTGATTTAAATACAATCCCCCCTGAAATCCCACTGTAAACAAACATTTCAAATCTGATAAACAAAAGTTCCATAATAAAGAATAACCTCAAGTCTTAGCAATTAGGGAAGAGGAAAAACAAATCTTGGTAGAAATTTTGCAATTTAAATAGAAATTAAAAAAAATAGACTGCATGCATCCCCTAGGAGGAGAAGAGCATTAAGTCATCCCACCCCAAAGAGTGGGAAGAAGCAAAGAAGAAAGCAAAGGAAGGAAGGAAAGAATGGAAGAGAAAGTGTAGGAGACACAAAGTGATAAGGAAAGTGAAAAGAAATTTATTATTTCTATAATTTGCTTGGAGAAGGCAGAGACTCTCAAAAAATATTAATGCAACTTGCTCCAAAAGTGACAGAATGGAAGAGGTGAGGGAGCCTGTCACTTCACCTTATTGTCAAAGGGACAAGCCCAAGCGAGGGACAGAATCCAACTGCGCAGCGTCTCTATAAACGAGGCCCAGGAACTAGGCACGGGCATCACAAGATGGTTTTCCTCAAAAACTTTTTTTTTTTTTCCAGGTAAGATGTGTTCATAAATGCTCCCTAAATCCTCCACGGTTCAACCAAAATAATGGACTGAGACTCAGAGTTATGGAACTGGGAGTTTCTAAAATAGTCCTTGACTCCTTTAGGTTAGATCAGGACTGCAACAAGTCAGGCCATTCCTAAGACTGCAGAGAGAGGAAACATTCTGCATGCGCAGGTAAGAAGGGACAAACCAAACCAAACCAAACTCACTGTCGTGGAGTCGGATCCGACTCATAGCAACTCCTCCTTGGGTTTCCAAGGCCGTATTACTATGGAAGTAGATTGCCCCATCTTCCTTCTGAGGAGTGGCTGGTGGGTTTGAACCACTAGACTTCTGATTAACAGTCAAATGCCTTAGGCACTACCCTACCAGAGCTCCCAAGAAGGGACAGATCAGTCAAAATCCTCCTTGCAGAGGAATGAGAAGATAAGAGATGGACAAGGAAGCATTGTGAGGAAAGATCAGGGCTGGAAAATGGGAACTTAAGGAATCACTGCCATTTTACCCAGCAGAGTGCAACATACGCACAAGTGCAAGGAACAATAGGTAACTGCTTTAAAAACAGAAACAAAAATGCCCATCCAAGAGCCAATTTCTCCCCTTATCCCCAATCTCTGATTTTGCCAAAAGGTTGTTTGCTGCTTCAAACCCCAGAAACCACATCAACTAGGTTCAGGATTCAAAAGTCCCAACCCACTTATACAATAAAAAAAATAGAAATCACCCCATTATTTTCTGTATAGCCCTCAATGTAGACATTGAGGAAGGAAGGGAAATCCAGGGCAAGCTGGGGACCTCAAGCCAAACTAAACCCTTCATAGTTGTCAAGGGCCTGGGTCAGGCGGGTGCTCAGAATCTCTTTGCTGCTGTACTTGGGAAGGTCAAGAAGGTTGTAGCAAGTGTGGGCCACTGGCAAGTACTCCTCCCCACTGGCTGTGGACTGGATGACAATCTGCAGGCTCGCCATGCCATAGATGGGGATCCTATCGCTGCCTGTCAGGAACACTGGGGAGAAAAAGAAAGTGTTAACAGTTAAGCAAGTAGGAAGTCTCCCTAGGAACAGATAGGAAAGCATGACACCCTGTGGCTCACACAAGAAGTACAATTGCTTTTATGCATATCCAGCCGAATGATGCCCTAAACGCCCTAAAATCAAAAATGTCTTCCATCAGTCTTTGCCATCATAAATTTTATTAGCCTCCAAAGCCTTGTTTTATGAAATCAACAAGGAAAAGAGAGCTGACCTCGGGGGCAAATTAGGAAGATGGTCAATGTCTGTAAGACATCAAGGTCTCTCTCCCCTGAGACTGAAGCTTGCACCATCCAACTGAATTCCCATCTGTGGGTCGATTTGCTCTCCCTTCACTCTCTCTCCATGGTTTTAAACCCAAAGAGCTGACACTGACATTGTAATACACGTTTCACTCTTGTGACATGCACTGTGATTTGGCAACAAAAAAAAAGCGCTCATCTGTTTTTCCATGTTTTCTCATGCTAGATAACGTTCTCAGAGACGAATTGCTAGAATTTACTATAATGAAATCATTATTTATAGAGCACTTTCAAATAACCTGGCACTGTCTGAGACAGCCATACGCGGACATGCTTACCAAAATCTCTAGAGTTAATCAAAATTTCCATAAATCTAAAGATCTTTGGATAGAGAAAAAAAAAAGATTTATCCTAGGAAAATCCCCAACAACCAGAACTGGCTTCTCAATTAAGTGCCACAGCCCTACAAGCTCATTTGGCAAACCCTGACCTGTCACTCCATTCATATGCCACTGCCTCTTAGTAGCCGATGTGACTGGGCAGAGGTCAAGGGGGGTTCTTTTGCGTAGGAATTCTTGTGTTGGAGCGCCACTTCCTCTCAGCTATGCTCCATGTAAGTGGTGGCATCTGGGGGTAAGTCTTGCATTAATATTAATATATGCTGTGTCACACAAAGCAGAACAGACTGCTTTGCAAATCCTGTATGTTGGTTTTATATGGCTGAAAATTCTGTATTTACCAGCTAATTTCTGTGTTTGGTTAGACAGAGTAAGATTTCAACTACTCTGAAACTGAACATCATTCTCTTTTCCAAATATATTATCCTTCTCAATTTTCACCCAACCAGTCATGCCCAGTCACCACATATCATATGGTTCCAGAAGGGGTCAATCCATAGAGATAGATAGTAGAGTGCTTGTTGCCTAAGGTTGGAAGGGTTGGGAGAAAATAGACAATGACTACTAAGGGGCATGGGGTTCTTTTTTGGGATGATAAATGCAAAATTGTGATGGCTGCATACCTCTGTGAATACACTGTAATCCACTGAATTGTGTATTTTAAGGGGGAGGACTGTATGGTATGTGAATTACATCTCAATAAAGCTATTAGAAATTGTATCTCCCCAGTTCCATCTGCAGTGGATGCTTTGTAATATTTTCAAAAGATTAGAGAGATAAGGGAGGTTGATCCAAACAATTAGATGTTACAAATGTAATACTTAAACACATCACTTACATATAAAATAACTAACATTTTTAGAGCAATCGAAAACCATGTAATCCCTCCTGTTAGGCAACAAATATGGATTAACAACAAATGTTGTGCCTGAGATTTCATTAAGACAAAAAGCATAATGTGATTAATTACTAACTTTTTATATTTAAAAGAGTTGGACCTACACCATATGCAAGATTGAAATGTAGACAAATAACCATGTTGAGTTACTGATACGTACAGAGAAACTTCTTCTTCTTTTCCAGTGGAAACTCATGAAATGTTTCCCAAAACATTCTCACAGTGGGATGTGTGGCTGAGTAATCACCTTTGTAGATGGCAGTCTGTTCAAAAACAGAAAAAAAAAAAGTATCTTTCATAATAATAATAGTGGCTATGTGTATAGTATTTGCACATATGTACCAAAATCCAAAAAAAAAAAAAAAAATAGTGGCACCCACTGCCACTGAATTGATTACGACTCATAGAGACCCCCACTGGGTTTCCAAGGCTATAAATCTTTATGGAAGTAGACTGCTCCATCTTCCTTCTGCAGAGGCTGGTGGGTTTGAACCACTGACCTTCTGGTTAGCTACCAAATGCCTTATCCACTTTGCCACCAGAGCTCCAAATCACATTCAACTAGAGTACATTTTCAAAGAGACCAGAGGGCCATCTACCCAGGGTGCTGCTGCTATTATCAAGATGATAATGGTATCATCTTTTGTGCTCACCTCTTCCAGTTCCTCCCAGTTGTAATTGCTGTTCCCCACCATCATGGCCCTCAGTTCTGAAGGTTGGAAGAGCTCAAGTACTTTGCCACCACACACCTTCAGGAAGCCACTGGAGAAGGCTGTGTACCATTCGTGAACTGAGATTTGGAAGACATAATTCACATAAGCATCCACAAATTCCTGCCTGTCAGAAGACCAAAGAAACAGAATATATTTAGCTCAAAGTCTTATAAAGTTTATGAAGGTACCCTTTTATATTATTTCTGTTAAAGAGATGAGGAGTGATAAAAATCAAACTCCCTTAAATTCTCACACCAGGAAATAACTTAAAACATCATGTATGTTAATGGCTCTCTGCACTGTTCTCCCCATCCCTCCCTAGGCCTTAGGATTCTACCAAGGTGTCCCAGGTGACCTGGGGGCAGGTGGGCCATGTAGGAAGGACCATGAAGGCAGTAGGTAGAGGCATACTACTAGTTTACCTGAGGAGCCCTGGTTACATTCCTGTTGCAAATCGTTCAATAATAAATAAACACTTCTCCTAATTCAAAGGAAAAGTCTAAAATATTGGTCCTAGGCTACTTCTCCTCTTCTCAGAAAGGAAAGCCATCTTAGATATTTGTATCTCTTACCAATTTTAAAATTTTAAAAGGTAAATTCCTTAACTCCTTTCTATAAATCCCTTAACAATCTTTGGAAAGAATTATATCACATAATGGTTCCATCTTACAAATGTAAATTAAGACAACAGTGAATTACTATCTGTACTCATCATACTGGCAGGAGTTTAAGTCAGATAATATCAGTAATAGTGAAGATGTGGAAAAATGGGAACCCCATACACAGCTGGTTGACATTTCCCATTGTGAACTGGCAGGAATGTCATCTATGAACTGAGACATAAACATTTTGGGTGAACAATTTATCCTACCTAGAAAAATTGAAAATGTGAATACTCTGATGCAGCTACTCTTACTGCCAGCTAGGTAATCCAGAGACTCTCACATGAGTGTAAAAGAGAACAAGTACAGGATATTCACTATAGCATTTTCCTATAACGTGGAGTGACTGGGGAGAAAAAAACTAAACAAAACAAAACAATCACACCTACTGCCACTGAGGTGATTCTGACTCACTGTGACCCTTTAGAACAGAGTAGAACTGCCCCATATGGCTTCCAAGGCTGAAATCTCTACGGAAGCAGACCGCCACATCTTTCTACCACAGAGCAGATGGTTGGTTCAAATCAGCAACTTTTCAGTAAGCAGCCAAGGGCTTTTAACCACTATGCCACAAGGGCTCCTCAAATTAATATGAGAACAAAGACAAGATAATATAGGATGGAGTTCATCAAGTACAGCGTGTTAATTAAATTAACTAGATACACATTGGGAGCTCTGGTAGCATAGTGGCTAAGACACTTGCCTGCTAACCAGACGGCTGGCGGTTCAAACCCACCAGCCACTCCTCGGAAGGAAGGTTGGGCAATCCTACTTCCGTAGTGATACTGCCTCGGAAACCCAAGGAGGGGTCGCTATAAGTCGGGTTTGACTCGATGGCACATAACAACAACAACAACAACAAGATACACATTTATCAAAATGAATATATTTCAAGAACAAGGTTGAACAAAAAAGCAAGTACAGTATGGTATCATCTACTATGTTAAGTTCATTTTGACACTTAAAACAATGCTATGTATAAGAATCAGTGGCTCTGCTGCTTAAAGCTTCTGACCTGGGGGCAAGTTATCTAACCTCTCGGTGACTCAGTCTCTTCATCTGTAAAACGGAAATAATATGAGTACATAACTCATGGGACTGTTGCAAGGATTAAATGAGTTAACACACACAAAACAAGCTTGAAGGTGTTTTGTAAACGCTAGCTACTATTTATGGATAAGGAGCTCTGGTGGCATAGTGCCTAAGGCACTTGACTGCTAACCAGAAGTCTGGTGGTTCAAACCCACCAGCCACTCCTTGGAGGAAAGGTTGGGCAATCTACTTCCATAATGATACTGCCTCGGAAACCCAAGGAGGGGTCACTATGAGTCAGATCTGACTCGACAGCAGTGAGTTTGTTTTTTTGGTTTATTTACAGATACGAGATTTTGTTTATGGATATGAAATGAGTATGTGTTCAGTTTTGAAATAGAAGCCATTAATGTAAAAAGATCTTTATCTTAATACACCTATTTATCATAAAAAACCAAACCCATTGCCATCAAGTAAATGCAGACTCACAATGACCTCACAAGACTAACCCATAGGGTTTCCAAAGCTGTAAATCTTTATGTAAGCAGACTGTCACATATTCTTCCTGCAGAGAGGCTGGTGGGTTTGAACCACTGACCTTTTGGTTAGCAGCTGAGCACTTTAACTACTGCACCACCAGAACCTCTTATTACAAAAGTCTGGTAGCACAGTGCCTAAGGCACTTGACTGTTAACCAGAAGGCTGGCAGTTCAAACCCACCAGCCACTCCTTGGAAGGAAGGTTGGGCAATCTACTTCCGTAGTGATACTGCCTCGGAAACCCAAGGAGGGGTCGCTATGAGTCAGGTCCGACTCCATGGCACATAACAACAACAACAACAGAAACATGAAAAGATACAAATCAAATTCATAAGAATTTTGTCTGGGTAAGAAAGGGGGTTAGAAAGAAAGGAATGGAACTAAAGAGATGTACAAAAAGAACTTTAATGATATTATTAACTTTTTTCTTTAATTATAAAGTATAAAACAAGTATCTGTTTATCTGGGTAATGCATGTAAAGATGTTTGTCCTATTATTCTCTGCATGTTTCTGTGTTTTAAATTTTAAAAAAAATTAAAAAAAAATAACATTATGATGATAGATCTTTTCTTCTTAGCAACCACTAATATAATACCTCATAAAACTGCATGTGGTAGTTAAGGTTTTGTGTCAACATGGCTTGGCTGTGATTTTGAGTGGCTTGGCAGCTGGATGTAGCTCTTCCCCATGATGAGACTGGATGTGGCGTAATCACCTTCATAGTAGAATCTGCTGTGAGCAGCTAATTAGTGGAAAGGGAGTTGCCTTCAGTGTGTGGCCTGCTTCCAGTATATCTGGAAAAGCTTTGGGAAAGATCTCTGGCTTTTTGCTCCTCCACTTGGCCCACCATTATCTCCAGTTGCCAGACTTGAACCAGTGGCCTGCTGTGTTGCCTGCTAATCTTGGAGACTGTTGCTTTTGCAGCCTGTGAGCCAACAATCTGTTTTATCTCATGATCTTGGATTCATCAGACTCAGCAGCCAGAAGTCTGCCATACTGCTAGCCAATCTTGAGTTCGTCAGCCCCTGAAGCTGGATGAGTCAGGAGAAGCCTCCAGCTTGACATCTGATCCATGGACTTGGGACTTGCCAGCCTCTACAATTGTGTGAGCCATTTCCTGGAGATAAATTTCCCTCTCTACACATACTCACTGGTCGTACCTCTCTAGAGAAGCCAGCCTAAGACACTGCACTTGAACATCTTGACTCTCCTCCAAGAGCACACTTTTTACAAGGCACTACCTGTACCAGTAACTAATGAGGAAGTGCTGTGATGTAACAGATAAGCATATGGACTCTAGAGATGGGCAGAAAGGTTCAAACCTAGGCTCTGCCACTTTTTTATGTACCAGCTACTAAACCTATTTCCCATCTTTAAAATGGGGTAAGTGTTGAGTTAAAAAAGCTGTTTATATGTCTTAGCCATAGATTCTGAAAGTTTCTCACAGTGCTAATGATGCACGACATTTTTGAAACTCATTACTCAAAGCCAGTAATATTTTTCTGATAAAACTGTCTAGAGAGGCACCATCAAGTTTTTTTGATTACAGACTCTAATTTCTGTTTGTCACTTAGCACTCTCCTTCAAAGACATTCTTGGTTAATGACCACCAATCATTACAGAGTGTTTAAGGTGCCAGGCATTGCAATAAGTTCTTGGATATATATTGTTGTTGTTGTTATGTGCCGTCGAGTCGGACCCGACTCATAGCGACGCCTCCTTGGGTTTCCGAGGCAGTATCACTACAGAAGTAGATTGCCCTATCTTCCTTCCGAGGAGTGTGGCTGGTGGGTTTGAACTGCCAACCTTCTGGTTAGCAGTCAAGTGCCTTAGCCACTATGCTACCAGAGCTCAATACTCAACACTACTCTTTGAGAGAATTTCATGCTATGAGAATTATTATTTCAATAAAAATGAACCCACAAAATAATCCATTAATTAAAAAACAAACATTTGTGTTTTCTATGATCATTATTTCAATTTCAGAGCTGAGTCTGGGACAAACAATGAGTGCATGGGCAGACAGAGAAATGGAGGCTAATGTTTGAATACAGAACCTGTACCTCAATGACCTCTCCATTCTCTCTGTCTTGATTATTTTAATTTCCAATATAGTGGCTGCATGAGACGTTACAGGAGGCCAAGATAAATTCTTCCTGGTACAATAACTCATCTACACTATTCACAAATATGTTTTATTGCAGTCCCAATTATACACTTGATTCCGCTAAGCCCACAAAAGGAGACAACTCTTAGTTGATATGATTTTCAAACACATAAATTTAAAGGAGTAGGTAATACATGCATTGTCAATTATTTTTAGAAGTCTACTTCTAAGCCACTGTAGTAAGAGTCTGTTAAAAAGTAGTCTAGCTTGTAAGGCTGATTCTGAAATTAATATACAGGGCAAAGGCACCAGAATAGCCAAAATAATTTTTAAATAGAAGAACAAAGTTGGAGGATTCCAATTGATTTCAAAACTATAGTGAGTAAGGCTAGAGTAACTAAGTATGTTATGGTGAAAGGATAGACACATAAACCAGTGCAAAAGAACAGAGTGCAGAAATAGACCTGGACACATGTGATCACTGATTTTCCACAAAGATGCAAAGGTAATCACTAGAGAAAGGATAGCATTTTCAACAAATGGTCCTGGATCAACAGGACATCCATATGCAAAAAAAAGAAACCTTGATCCACAACTCCTACACATATTAACTCAACATGAACCACAGACTCAAATGTAAAACCTTAAATTACAAAGCTCTAAAAATTTTTTTGTAGATTTTAGCAAATATTTCTTAGATATCACCAAAAGCACAATCCATAAAAAAAAAAATATTAGTACAACTGACTTCATCAAAATCAAAATTTTCTGTTCTTCGGAGAC